ATGTTAATATTTGAACTGCAAAAGGGATGTTAGACAATGAGACAGTCAAATAACGAAATGTATATCAAATATCCCGAAATATTAAGGAAAATAAAAAGCGCCCAAATAGTTTTATCAGTCTTTTCAATCAGTCTTTCTCCTTCCAGAATAATGCAGCTCCAGTCTACTGATAAGAGCTTAACCTTCATGCTGGAAGATCACCATGATCTGAGCGCGGCCAAGGAGGCCTTAGTGACCTGGAATGCTGGCTGGTCAGGGCGTACCTGTGGACGCGCCTGTGATGATAGCGTTACGATAACAAAGGTCACGGTGCAGAACGTAGAGAAGAGCGCTCAGCGGTAAGTTCGGGAGAGTTTGAAGGAGATAAAAGGGGCATTGATGTTTCTTATTAAATATTTCCTTGAAAATATATTTCGGGGGAGTTCGAGAAAGAGCCATTAAAGATCCGGGTAAATTTCTCCTTGTAATATTAGAATAGTTTCGTCAAAGGTACGTTGATAGTTTTTTTTTTTTATCATAATGTCCGTACAATCACGGATAAATCTGAAAACGGTGTTAACTTTCTGCCAACAGGAGACAGCTTGGCCGATCTGCGCAAGAGGGTTGTCAGCGGCCATCCGACATCGCCACTAGATTGCCCAACGGAGGCACAGTCAAAGTGCCGCTGTCACAAGAGTGCCAAATAGTATAAAAAGTATTAATGAAGACATTGATCCTTTGTAACTAGTAGAATTTTCTTAAAGCGGGTGTTAGGAATCATCTCCAAAGAGCTTGGGTATTGGTTGACAATAATATAACGTTGACATTAGTAAAGATGTATTATGGTCAATAGCTAGTCAAAGATTACGGCGGCAGCGGCTACTAAATCAGGACTTTGGCTCAGGGTTACTTTAACTGTAAAACCATATCAAAGAAAATCCAGGTCTAAGGTCGAATCATAGGCATATTAGATCTAGGCATGAAGGCTCAAGGAACAGACCTCCATATATGCGGTGTGGCTCAATCTCCATAACGCGAAATGGTGCGAATGCGACGCTTGAACTCAGACTTCAGCGACGATTAAAGATCGTGATCAATGTTTACTTTTAAATCATGCGATAAAGAAAATGTTCATAGATGTGCAATGGAAGTCATAGTTTTGCCAAATTTAACCGAATTGCAAATATTGTTATGGTTATTAAAGAAATTACACACATTTTAAACCGAAGTCTGGACTTAATCATCGCATCTATACCCTTTGTCGCGATGGCGGTAACTTTAAGCTTAGAGGCGACCTTAGCATTAGTCTTAATTCAGGTAAGCTTAATAAGCCTTGATTCAAATCATGATGATATTTAAACCTAGGTCACTGTTTTATATCGCAGTGACAGTTAGTTTAAGTCATCAGAGAGGTAGATTAAACTCCTAATAGCATATAGCCTAGATTATTACAGTGGCATTAAATCAAAGACTTTAGTTTTGAAATATATCTTTTAGTGAGTGGATAAGAATGCACAAGGTCTAAATAAGTGGTTATTTAGACCTCGATCATGTGCAACGCTGCAATCAAAACGGGGATTTAAAAAAGACTCATGTTGGCATTAGAATAGCGTAAGATATTTTTAAGGTAGCCTAGCTTGATTCTCATTTTTATCATCACTTTTATCATCTTTGCTCACATCACATATCATACCTATCAACAAATGCAAGACTGAAATTGCAATCATTGCATGAATAACTGTTATCATCCTATTCATTTCATCTACCATTATACTGAGAAATATTTTTTTTTATAAATCAGTAAATTACATTATCAAATGTTTCAGCGATATTTTCATCTTCTTTTTGTATGTTGTATTTTGAGAAGTTATAGAGACAAAAAGAAATATATAGTCTCTTTTTATTGTATCTTTTATTCCTTTTGTTCGCTGTCTATAAATCAGGAAAAAAAACTCTATACAGTAGATACAGTCTGTGTGTGTGTGTATGTGTGTGTGTGTGTGTGTGTGTGTGTGTGTGTGTGTGTGTGTGTGTGTGTGTGTGTGTGTGTGTGTGTGTTATAGTTATGCATAAATAAATATATTACCCAACCACAAATCACGTTTGTCATAATGGACAGCTCATTATACAATATGATTATCAGAAATCCCAATCATTTATCACCCCTAATGATTGACATGATGACTACAAAAAGAAATCGCTCAGCCACCTCATAGTTGACACACTTTCCAATATCATTACGCAAAGCAATTAATTAACGCAAGATGAACTGAGCATCTCGGCGCCCATTGCAACAGCTGACTTTTAAGAGATATTATGATTTGACTTTTAAACACTACGTTCGTTCCACTTTGCTGTTGCACACTGTTGCAAATTCCTTGTGATATTAAGGTTGATGTGTATTCCGTTTATGTGAGTAGAAGATTTTGAGAAAAATATTAAACAGGGTAAATAAAACATTATGAATTATTCAACCATATATAAATATAATAAATATACAAAAGTAGGTACATGTTTATTGTACTTTAGAATTCCATGTACATCTGCGACTGAATGTCACTTTTAACATGGGAATCACAAAAATATAACAAATATATCACTTTTAGCAATATATAAATATTGTTAAAATATATAAAAGGGAGGAAACCGCTCGTCAGGTCATCCCAGTTTTGCACTTTTGAAATTTAAACGAAAAGGTAAAGACCTGTTTTTAACAATAGGCAGTTGAAAATAAATTGGAAATATTTAACACCGCTGAAACATCGTAGGAATACATTTTGCATCTAACAGCTATAAGGTGATATATTTGAATTATGTACATGGATTGAGAGAATAAATACTTGGCAATATAAGAATTACATTAACATCATCACAACAAGAATAAATAAATTTGCAGACAGACGCCCCACAAATTTGTGTGACGTCCATCCACTGGTATTGTCATGGATATTGTCATGGTTGTTTCTCTATCACAACTTTGAGTATTTTTTTAATCAATTTACCAACAAAAATATCAATAAAGCAACAAACTCTTGGAACTGCACCGAATGGTCGTTTGTCATCCACGACCTCGGACACTTGCCCAATTACTCTTGCAACAAAGCAGTCAACCATCTAATATAAAACAAATCAGCATAAATAACAACAATACATCATAACAACAGTAAAAAAAAGAACTCTTTCTCACCTACATTAATAAACTCTCACCACACACACTCATGAACTCACCAACTCCCACACACAAACTCTTTCCACACACACACACTCGCAAACTGACACACACACACACACACTCGCAAACTGACACACACACACACACTCGCAAACTGACACACACACACACTCGCAAACTGACACACACACACACACACTCGCAAACTGACACACACACACACACACACTTAACAATAAGGATAGCTATCAGTAGTCGTAACATACATCTGTTCCAGCCTCCGACCCGCCTGCCCCACGGCTCTCCACTCCTCGGCTTCAATACCCATGCGAGCACACCAGCTCCCGTCGCCGCACATCTGGCACAGGCCCTGGTGTGAGAGAGGGAGGGAAGGGTATAGGGCTGGAGTCCATTTCGAGGAGTTCGGAAGATTTTGGGGAATGAAGGGGTTCTTTGGGAAGTGGGTCATAACAAGTGCTATCGATAGGGGAATAAATAATAATCAGTTGGTGCTATCATGTTTAAATCGAAATAAAGAGTCTTACAACTTTTTAAAACGGTTATCTTGCAATAACTCACTCATATAAAAAAATAAATAATATACATGTATATGTATGTATGTACATGTGTATGTTCATACATACATATACATGTATAAGTATATTTGCAACACCACTGTTTTCATACTGTTACACCTAATCAGGAGAAGCTCTTGTGGTTTGTTTGTACATTTTGCCATCTTCAGTGCACGCGCCGTGGCAATTAACTGAGAACCTAACAATGAACAGGTGGGGGGGGGGGGGGACTGTTCTAGGTCAACAACAGGCTAGGAGGTGAGGCATAATTGCTTCATTGTCGTTATCACCGCGAATATCTATGGCCGTGAGACAAATCGGTGTCAGCTAGAGCAGTGAGCGCAAGGGTATTACGGAGAAATGGTACGAAATATGGCTTCCTGTTGATATTTTTCGAAATACTGGTCGAAAATGCAGTTTTACCCCAAAACCAATGGAGTGGCGATAGAAAAAAAGAGTTTTAAACCCATTCAAAACTCATAAACAAAATTATCAGATTTATCAAATTTACATTTATAATATTATCGTTGTGTGTAAAAGTTTGTCCGGACGGCTGTTGGTTAAATATCAACAATGTTACTCCTGTCATTACTACTATTACACTATCAATATTGCAACTCTTTATCATTAATAGTAGACGTACTAACATTACAAGTATTAGAATGATATAGTAATAAATAAATCCTAAAAAAACAAATAGATGATAATAATAATAATTATTATTATTATTGTTATTATTATTACTATTATTATTATTATTATTGTTATCATTACCATTATTATTATTATTATCATTATTATCATTATTATCGTTATTATCGTTATTATCATTATTATCATTATCATCATCATTATTATTATTATTATTATCATTATTATCATTATTATTATTATTATTATTATTATTATTATTATCATTATTATTATTATTATTATTATTATTATTATCATTATTATTATTGTCATTATTACTATCATTATTATTGTCATTGTTATTATTATTATCATTATTATTATCATTATTATTATTATTACTACTATTATTATTATTAATATTATTATCTTTGTTATTAATGTTATTATTATTAATAATAATAACCATAATGAGAACATAAATAATCATAAGGATAATAATAATTATCATTATTATACACACGCCTGAGTCTCACCAATGGCAATAATAATAACAATAACGACCACAAGATCAACAACAACAGCTAGACTTCACCTTTTCGACAACTTTATTTTTAGAATTCTAAAGTAGTCTGTGTAAG